GAGAGGAGAGAGAGGAGAGAGAGGAGAGAGAGGAGAGGAGAGGAGAGGAGAGGAGAGGAGAGGAGAGGAGAGGAGAGGAGAGGAGAGAAGAAAGGGAAAGGGACATGCCTGAACTGCCTGTAGGCTCTGCTCTCAGCTGCTTCTGTGAGGTCGGGGGGTCTCTGGGCCTAGGGAGAGACCCCTGTGCCAACATAAGGTGCCTCCAATCCAGTTCCCTTTAGCGAGGGAGAGGAGTGCAGGTTGCCTTGAGCCCTGTCTCGCCCTTCGACAGCAGCCGTCCCAGTAGCCTGAGTGGGCTTCAGAGCAGCACATACACCTGCCTCGCAGGTCACTCCTGTCCATCCAAGCAGGGCTGAGAGAACAGAGGATGGCAGTGATGCCCGCCCACACAGCCAGAATGACACACCACTTGGAGGGTGTGTCTGAGGCCAGAGCCTCCTGCAGAGGGTTGTATTTGAATTTCCAAGATCATCTAGGCCCTTTGGACACAGTACAGTACAGTCTCTTGATGTTCAGAGAGGCTGATTATATTCTTCACGTTACAGAGCAAACAGATGTCCTGCGAGCATTGTCCTTGTGGTGCTTTTGGCCTGAGACAGACGGCAGGCTGGTCCTCTACTCCACGTTGAAACCTCCTTCCCACTGTGTTCCAGAGGCTGGGGAAGAGTTATTTCTGGATGGTGGGCTGTGTGTACAGGTCTGAATGAGAAATGGGCCCTGCAGCCTCATGCATTTGAACACTTGGTCCTGTTTGGTGGCACTGTTTGTGGAGGCTGTGGAACCTTTAGGTGAAGCCTTTCTGAGGATATATCACGGGGCGCAGACTTGGAGAGGGAGGAGCTCTGCCTACTTGCAGTTTGTGTTCTTTTTGGTGTTTGCAGTTGAAGAAGCGATTGTTCAGTTTTCTGCTGCTGTGACAGAACCACCCTCCCCACCCCCATTATGCCCCTCTAGAACCTTAAGCCGAAACAAATCCATTCTTCCATTGTTGCTTTGGGTGTGGTGTTCCATCACAGCAACAGAAAGAAACTAACATGTGCTCTCTGGCAAGGCCCTCTGGGAACTACCCACACTGCCCTCTGGCTGGGAGATGCTTCTTTGCATGCACCAGGTGCAGCTTGCATGCTCTGGTTACCTGTGACCACCTGCTGTCTTGTTAGCGCTCGGTCCACTGGTCAGGTCTTGCATCCATTGTCTGCCCTAAGGCCCACTGTGCTGTGCTGTTGTGAACTCCATGGGTTTAAGTGGGGCCTTCTCTATGCCAATACAGGTTAGTGAGCACACACTGATGGATCAAAGATGGATGACAGGACTTCCACCGATGCAATGCCAGTTACATAGAACTCTCTTGGTGCATGTAGTGTCTGTCCAGGAGTAAGGATACCCATGTTAGCTGTTCTTGTTCTGTGATGGTCATCTATCCCCCCCCCCCACCACACACACACACTCTGGATGTCTGAGCTTATCCTAAATGGGGAAAGGACATTGTAAGGAGGCTCAGGTTCCAAAAGGCAGTGATTAGGAGTTCCTGGGTCCTGAGATAATTTATTCTCACTTTTGTGCCTCAGTTTCTCTTCTAGAAAACCACTATGAAACCCTGGCTTTGGAATTTTTTATTAGTTTTTTGTGCAACACTTCCCCCCACCCCCTAGATTAAAACATTCACCTGTGGAGGGAGGGAGGGGGCCCAGGTAGAAAGTGGGGTTGAGTCTTGGGTTGTGCCTGATGAAACTCAGAAGAGACACGGCTCAAGAATCCCTTTCTGGAGTTAGGTAAGCAGGGAGCATTTTCTGGGAAGAGAGCTCTCTGGTGGAGTTGCCTGCAAGTTGGGCAGGGAGTTCTAAGGATGTAGCATCTGTGTGCTGGCATCTGTGCGCTGGCATCTGTGCACTGGCATCTGTGCGCTTGGGTGAGGTTTTAGTGATACAGCTGCCCCCGGTTACCTATGCTTCTGTAAGAGAACCCACTAAACTTTTTGGTTAGCTCCTGTAGGCTAAGCCCACCACTCTGGACATGGATGGAGTCCTTTCTTTGGGACTGTTGTTGTCTTCTCTAACTAGGAGTGAATTGGAAATGTTCATGCAACATAGCTGTAGTTATCCTCCCTACCTCTTCCCCAACTCGTGTGTATATGTGTGTGTGTGCGTGGTTGGTTGGTGCCTGTGTGTATGTTCATGTAGGGGCCCATGTAGGTCAGGTAACAACTTACAGGACTCAGCCTGATCCCCTCTGTGGGTCCCAGGAATCAAATTCAGATCCTCAGGTTTAGCAACAAATGTTACCATTGAGCTATCTTGGCAGCTCTCACCTTGCTTTTTTACTCTGATTTCACCACCATCGGCTGACTGGCTGATAGCTAGGATGGCCACTGGCCTCACCTGCCTCTGAGAGGCACTACCCAGGCAGCCAGCCATCCCCTCTGACTGTCTCAGGTGGGTTTGAGGTCTCTGTCTTCAGCTGATGGCTTTCTCAGTACGACTGTCTGCTAGCACTCTCTCCCCGCCATTAATTACGTGGTGAGCAAATTTGATTGCTTTCAAACAGGATCGTTCTGTACCCGAGAAGAAGCACTCAGTGGAAAATACCATTTTGTTTGGTACTTGGCAAGCAGGTCTTTAGGGCTCTGTGGGCACCACCTAGGTGCCTGTCTGTGCTGTGGAATCACCTGTGCCTGCTCAAGTGGGGCCAAGGCGACAGCGGCATTGCTCATTAAAGAGCTGTTCCCCACCACACCACACAGCACCCTCCTTGAAACGATACAGACAACAAACTTCTCAAGTTCTATTTTTCTTCTGTGCCAGCCTGGAGACACACGAGGAGAAAAGCCCAGAGAAAGGCGGCAGCGGGGAGATTTACCGATCAATAAAAGAGACAATTACAGTTTGTTGATGAAAGGAAATCCCCCGCCCGGCCTCTCGTGGCATCGACACTCTGCTAATGATAACTTGGGTAACCAGCTCGAGACGATAAAAGTCAATGGGAAGATATAGGATTTCAATAAAGTTATGGCACTTCATAAACCTTTCGGCGGAAACAGATCTCCCCCAGACTGGTGACCAGTTCCAGCTGGATTTGGTACTTTAATTTCTCACTTATTGAATTTTTTGGCACCCACTAGTTATGGATTCTATGCCAGGGTGTTAACTGTGTCCCCAGCTTGGGAGGGAAGAGGTCTCAGATGAGGCTTTGGAGGCCCACAGGTCAAGGGGGAGGGGTGGTCAGGTGTTCTCTGCACCCCAGCATCCCAACCTTCTTAAACAGAGGGGTTTAAGGATAGGCAGTATTGGTGCTGAGGGTGTTAAGTGTTGAGTCCAGGGCCTTAGCCTCATGAGAAAGTCCTTGGTGTCCGTGGGTGTCGCTCCAGGTGCCTATGTAATCTAAAAGAGGCAGTCTGTGGAAATCATTCTTCAGCCCCCTGAGCCTCCCCCAGTGTGGACAGACATGCAGGTCACACAGGAGGGCATGTGTGGTACTGGCCACCCTGGCCTTTTCCAGAGTGTGATTTGGGAAAGGATGTGCTGGAGCACATAGGAGCCACAGCCTGGCCATTGTGCCGGGACAGCATTTGCCAATGGTAATAAAATCCTATTGTTTTCATGAGTAATGGTTGTCAGCAGGACAGCTCACTGGACACTTTGTCCACAGCAATATTGATCCACACAGCTGCCCTTGTGACTACTTTCTTGCTGAGGGAGGATTTGAGACCTGGAGTGACTAGATAGCTGGCTTCAGTGCAGAGCTGGGGTTGGAAGCTGCTTCTTATAGTAGGAACTGTCCCCTTCCTTCTTCCTGAGCTGTGCTGTCCCCAGCATCTGCACTGCTGGCTACATGAATGGGCAGAGCTTAAGCGAACAGCACCAAGCTCATCAGCAGCGATGCCCCAAGATCCAGTTAGAAGCACAGAGCTGGGCTTGCCCAGACCTGCAGGATGAAGAGCCTTGTCACTTTCCCCAAGGTGATGTTCACAGGAAGTTGATGAAGCTGGGTTCTGGCACACCTGGACTTCCAAGGAAGATTTGCCACCCTCACTTGTGCATCCCTTGGAACTCTTCAGAAGGTGACATCAGGTTGAGGGGAGTCCCAAGCCTGGGCCTGGGATTTTGGGGTTGGGTCTCCTTTACCTAGGAGTGATATCTATATCCAAAGGAGCCCAGTGGCCCTGTAGGTTTTTGGCCACACTTAAGAACCCCAGTCATGGGCAAAGAGAATGCAGTGAGCACCCCTGGGGAAGACAGTCTCCTCAACAATGCTGTACCCCATATGTGGTCCTCACAGCATCTTGGCTTCCCATACAGGACAGGTTGCATGTCTACAGGCCTCCTTGCCGGCAAGATGGAGGGTGTTCCTCTTCAGCTCCTGTGACCCCTCTCTAGCATCTTAGAGAACCTGGTCCCAGTCTCGGCAGCATCTCTCTACTGCTAGCTTTCCAGTTCAGACTGTCGACCTTAGGATTCTAATGGGCACAGACTAGCTGAGGAGGGTTAGCCACAACTCCAGCTGTCACTCCTACTCTGTGCAGAATATGGCTGGAGAGGCTGGTGGCCTCAGGCATCTGTGAATTCGCTGTGAAGGTGGGGTACTCACTGAGATCACAGCTGTTTCTGGAGCCTCAGTGTCTGGGCATTAGGATAGGCCAAGGGTTCTGAGTCTTCTCAGGAAGGGTTAGTCCTTATTCCCCAGGCTGTGTTCTTGCTTTGTTTGTCACTGGTCAGGACTCACACCAAGTTGGTGTCTTCCCCTGGCATGGTTGAAGTGAGTACCGTTGGCAGGGCTGGCTTCTTTCATCACCGACCCAGTGAAACTAAGTCTAGAGCTCTGCAGGCCTAGGCCTCTGTTGCAGGCTCTCTGAAGGTGTGCACCACTGGCAGATGGAAGCAGGCCAGAGTGCTGAGCTTTTTGAGCATGTGCAGGGACTCTGAAGCTCACACCTCTGTATTCTTCCAAGCCACTTCAGACTGTCCCCACCCTGACCTGACCATCTATGTCCACAGGAGCGAGACGGCATGCGTGCCATCCTGGGATCCTACGACAGTGAGCTGACCCAAGCTGAGTACTCAGCCCAGCTGACACAGCGCATGTGGGAGGCCGAGGACATGGTTCAGAAAGTGCACGCCCACAGCTCGGAGATGGAGGTAGGTGTGCACGCCCACAGCTCGGAGATGGAGGTAGGTGTGCACGCCCACAGCTCGGAGATGGAGGTAGGTGTGCACGCCCACAGCTCAGAGGTGGAGGTAGGTGTGCATGCCCACAGCTCGGAGATGGAGGTAGGTGTGTACCATGGGCAGGTGGACTATGGTGTGTGTATTGGGGGAGGGCAGCCATGGGGGTTATTTTGGTACGTACACGACTTTACTTCTTATATAGCACTTGATGGTTAGAGGATGCTAGCGAGCCCCAGCCAGCAGAGGAGCTTCAGGGTGAGGCAAGGCCTCCACCAGGTTGTTGCCAGGTGCCTTGAAGACAGTCTGTGCTGTGTAGTCATGTGGTTCCTGCGGCAGCCTGCTTCCTCTTGCTGCATGTTCCTGTAGTGTTCCTGTCTAGGGGATGGCACAGTGTCTTCCAAGCCGTCTGTGGCTTCTTGTTTCTCTCTGTCACCTGCAGTATTGTGAGCCCTCTGTGAAATCTCATGTTGCTTTAGTGGAGTGAGGGTAGAGGAAATGTTTTAAAGAAGAGAGTAACTCTTTGGCCCCTGTAGGCTGTCAGGCACTGGGAAGCAGTGCAAACCGCACTTGGCCTCTCCTTCCCCGCTGGCGTATGCCAGTGTAAAACTCCTACATGTTAAATGTTGTCATCCCCTGTAGCCGTAGGGGAAGCCCCTGCTCTTCCTCCAACAGAGGTGGGGAGGTTTGCTTAATTCTCTGGAGAGGCTGGATGACCATGTAAGATGAGACAGGATCCTGCCTGTCAGGAGAACCACACAGCCATGCCCCCAGATGCTACCTGCTTTTTACCCACTTTTCAGTTGTATCTCTGAGCTTGACTTTGGCTATGACCCTAGAAGCAGGACTCTTATTGTCCACATTTCAATGACAAGAAAGCGGAAACCCAGAATGTCCAGGACTGAACCCAAGCCACCAGGCACCTAAGCACAAACCCAGGACTGCCCTGCAGCACGGCCAAGCTGCAGAGCATCCTAGGCAAGGCCTTTGTCACACTCTGTGTCCCATCAGCTCTTTTGGTCTTGATGGTCACATCTATTTGGCTTGTCCTTGACCTTGGTGTGATGCAGACTCCCAGAGAGGTGCTGCTGGGGCCAGTCATTCTGTGTAGTGCTCCTGCTAGTGCTCCTGGTTGTCCACTTGGAAAAGTATCTAAAGGAACAGCCAGGGTGACAGCATGGCTATATGCTCTTCCCAGAGAGCACTGGAATCCACAATGAGCAGGGCCCTTTCCTAGGCTTGCAACAAAGCCTTTGGTGAGGGGAGTGTTTAGTAGACAGCTATGAGCTAGCCTGGTGGTGCAGGCCTGTAGTCTGTAGTAGACAGCTGTGAGCTAGCCTGGTGGCACAGGCCTGTAGTCTGTAGTAGACAGCTGTGAGCTAGCCTGGTGGCGCAGGCCTGTAGTCCACCAGGGCCGTGGGAGGCTGAGGCATGAGGGTGATAAGTTCAGTGCCATCCTGGGCCTTAGAGAGAGTTTAAGGCTAGTCTGAGCAACTTAATGTCTGTCTTAAGTGAAAAGAAGGTAGAGGATATAGCTTGACTAGGGGCAGGGGTGTGGCTCTGTGGTAGAGCACTTACTGACTTTCATGAGTCCCTGTGTTAAATTCCTAGTTATTGCAAAAACAAACATACATACATACATACATCCCATCTGCAATAGGTGTGGGCGCCCATGAAGGAGCAGTCAGACACGCCTGACACTGCTGTGACATTCCTGGGCACCCACAGCTCAGAGGATGGCTGTAGGACTCCATGGGAAAACGGGGCGTGACTAGAGTGGGTGCTGCAGAGCGTCAGCTCTGAGGCTTGTGGCAAGGCTGTGCCCTGTGAGGAGGCCCAGTCCAGGCCGCCCTTGTGTTCTTCCCGCTCACGGGGTTCTCATCAGGCACAGCGGGCCTGTGTTGTCCTTGCACAGAGGGGCATCTCTTACTGACACTCTTAGCAGAATGAACCAAAGCTGTGAGTCGTGGAGACCCCTTGGGTCCTATACTGATCTCCCCATGGCTGCACACTTGTCCCGGTGTCTCACAGGTGGCCAGCAGCCAGGCGTGCAATCCCTTGGGGCTGCTGTGAGCGACTGCAACCCAGCTCTCCACCCTCATCGGAAAGGTTAACTCTGGCTCTAGCGAGCTATGCCATCATCAATGTAAGTGTGTTAATAGCTGTTTTATTACAGCACATTTAGCTCCATGAGAAACACTAACGAGGAGAGATCTGTGGGTCTGCTCTCTGACACCTGGCAGCTCCCTGGCATTTTCTCACTGAGAGTCTCATCTGTGGTGCCGTCTGCCTTCCACATAGGTCCTTAGGAGAATGATAGTCTGGGCACAGCCAGTGCTTTGTGTCAAGTGACCAGTGTTGTCAGGATTCTGCTCCAGCTCATACATGTTCCCTGTCAGCATCTCGCTGTCGCCCTGCTCATGGGTATGTGTCAGCACCCTCTCTTTCCCTGCAGGATGTAAACACGGTAAGTTCTTCCTGTTCTGTGTCCCAGAGCTATGGGAAAGTCAGTTGGGGCAGGTCGAGCAAGGTGCTCTTACTATTTCATAGTCATGGTCACTGTGAGTGTTCGTCAGGTTAGTCCAGGTTGGGGAGGATAAGAAGCCCCCTCCCCAACATACAGACCTTACAGTTGGTCCTCTTGTGCATGGGCACTCTGGCCTCTTGAAGCAGGCTGGCCCTCAGTGACCTTCCTCCTCTGGCCCTAGGTGTGCTGATCTCATGACTGTGGTGAGATAGGCTCCTGTGAGCAGAGCCCTGGTGGCTCCTCTGTTCACCCTGTGTCTATGCTAGTTACGCTTAGAGCTGGTGGGTATGTAACTGTTGCAGTCTAGAGTGGCCATGTGTTCAGACTCTTGCCTCATTATCACACGAGTCACCAAGAGACAGTTGTGTCCAGTCAGTCACACGATCCCTTGTCTCGACTAGAGTCCTCCTCATACCGTGGGGCCCTGGAGGAGCACAAGGTCTGGCAAACTCAGCCCTTTGGGGATGGAGTACTAGCTGGATTTATCAGTCTAGAAGAAGAAGCCCGCCTAGGGGTCCTAAACCATTGTAGTGGGGAGCAGTACACCCTCTGCTTCCACCAGGTGGCAGCAGACAGGCTCATGCTTTCTGGGCCTAGCCACTGCCCTGGAGAGGGCTAGGGCAGATGCAGAGAAGGATGGCTGGGAGGAGGAAATAATAGGAAACTGGGCGCATACTGGGTACATCTTGATCAGAGGCAAGGACCAGGCAGACATGAGAGTCCCACAGCTAGGTGGTCTGTTGTGGAGGAGCTGGAAGGACGAGAGTGGCCTTGGCTTTCGGCCTCCCAGCTGTCTTAGAGCCTGGATTTAGGAGGGTACTCCCTCCCGAGCATGGCTCTTTTCCATTCTGTTACCTGCCCTGTAGAGCCCAATGTACAGCTGGGTTTTCTGTGAGTCTCCATGTAGTGAAAAGGGAGATGGACAAACAGCCTTGCTTTGTCGTAGAAGGCAAGCTATGCATAGGCCAAAGGAGGGAGACGCTGCCTCTGGACAGGCAGATGTGGGCTCCTGGGGCCTTGGTGAGTCTGAGGTGATATCCTGAGTCATCAGTTCTGGAATTGCAGGTGACTTATGAGGGTGACTGGTAGGACAGGCCCCCTGCCACAGTGAGCCAGAAGCTGTTCCCACAGAAGCCACGGAGCTTGCTGTGTAGAGCCCTGGGCGTCACTAGCCGTGCATATAGTACAGCCACTTTAAGCTTACCTCTGACTAGCTTACACATAAATGAGACCCGGACTATGGTGATTTTAGTTGGCTTTGAAAATTACTGGGTGGTAACCCCTAATTTACTCTTCTAACTGCTGGCCCGGCTACCTCTCCAGCAATGTACCCCAGATACTTGTTGTTTTTCCCGGCTATGTGCTCATGGTTCATCCCCCTCATGGAGGTGTCCTCCTGTCCTCTCCTTCTTCTTCCTTCTCCTCCTGGTCGCTCCTCACTCCTCTCTCTTTTCCACCTCCAACCAGGGAACTCAAAATCCACCTACTTCTAGTCCCTCCAGTAATTGGCTGTAGCCAATTTTATTTAACCAACTGTTTTGAATTAAGGAACAAGGTCTGCACAACAAAAGCTGGTAAACATGAGAAGTCACTCTTAGGCCTAGAGCTTTGGGCACAGAATTTCTCATTACAGTACATAGCAGTAGGCCAAACTTCAACAATTTTCTACTTCACCTGCAAACCCATAGCCTTGCTGTCGTCTCCAGCCCCTACCCTTTTGAGGAGAGCACTGCTGGGCCAAGATAGCCACAGCTTGCTTCTGTCATACCCTGGGGTCCAGCAGGTACACTTTAACCATCTAAAGCCATTCTGTTAACAAGATGGCATACATCACCTGCCACTTAGGAGTGCCCAGCTTGTAGACACACCCTACAGCCAGCACAGCCTTTTGCAGGATCTCAGGTTCCTGGGGACAGGGCTAAGTGTCTCCTTTGCAGTTGGCAGAACTAGAGTCTGAGGTGGAGGGTGGTCCCAGGCAAACCTTCCCGTCTCCTGTTTCCCCTACCCATGGGCATGTTGACATCCCTTGTAGGTACATTCTAGAGATCTCACCCATTGCCCAGGGGCTGGGAGAGGCACCTATAGAGGACTTAGCCCCTCTGGGTACTGAATGCTTGGAGAGCGGCTGAGATAAGGGTGGTGGGGCTGCGGCCACAGATGGTAGCTTTCCATCGCCTTACTGGACAGTGAAGTTCATATACCAGACGCTTGCAAATGGCTCATGCCTGGAGAGCTTTAAAAGTCTTGTCGGGAGTGTATTAGCTGAGCTGCTTGTATTGACACAGTAAAAAGTTACATAACTTCACGGAACTCCTTTCTTAAAGGTCCCTTAGTGCCTTACAGCAGGGTAAACATTGCTCAGGCCTGGGAGGCAAGTGATTTCTTCCAGGGAAGTTACAAAACAAGAAATGGAGAGGGAGCCCTCACGTTGCTTGTGTTGTTCAGA